AAACTAGAAAGCAGTAACAGAATGACAGCTATAGACTGAATAATACACTTATACATAAAACACAGGTCAAAGAAGAAATCCTAAGAGTAAATAACACTTTTAAATAAATGAAAACACAACTTTATGTAGTAAAAATAGCATTTACAAGGAAATTAATAGCAATGGGTAAATACATTAGAAAAGACCCCAAATCAGTCATTAAGATTCTACCGTAGTAAACTAGAAGAAAAGTAAATTAAACCCAAATCAAAAAGGAGAAATATAAAAATTAGAGTAGAAATTGATGAAACTGAAAACAGGAAATCAATAGAGAAAACCAGTAAATTCAAAAGCTGGCTCTCTGACAAGAACAGTAAGATCAATAAGCCTGTAAACAGTCTAAGAAAATGAGAGGACACAAAATATGGATATCAGAAAAGAAATGGGGTAAATGATGCCAGAACAACTGGACATATAAAATAAATAAATAAATGGGGAAAAATGCACACAAACTTATTAACATTACAAAGATTATAGTCCTAAATATAAAATACAAAACTTGAAATCTCCTAGAAGCTAACATAGGAGGAAAATATAAATGATCCCTTTGGGTTTGGTGACATCATTTTAGGTGCCAAAACCAACACACATCTGTGAAATAACTGATTAACTGGATTTCATTAAGCTCTGTGAAAAGCAATGCCCAGAGAATAAAAAAGATAAAGTAACAGATCAGAAGAAAATATTTCCAAACCATCTATGATCAAAGGACTGTTATCTAAAATACACAAAGAACTCATAATTCAACAAGAAAAAAAAAATTGATTAAAAATGAGTAAAAAAGGGCCCTCACTGCAGCACGAGTTCTATCACCAGCCCCAGAGGTGACCCACATGGCTCAGCAGACCACTGCTGACCTGCCCGCTGTTGCCCTCAGCAGTGTATTCGTTGATCTGCCTGTTCTGCTCCCCATTTCTCTCCCTGGTGAACCCTCTCACCATCCCTGTACCTTTGGCCTGTACCCCAGTTCTGTATGAATACATACATATTTTTTTAAAATGAGTAAAAAATCTGAAGATATATAGACGGCATATTCTTCACCAAAGAAGACATACCAGAGGCAAACAGACATATGAAAAGATTTGTATATCACATATTATCAAGGAAATGCAAAATTAAAGCAATGAGATACCAGCACACATGTACTAGAATGGCCAAACCCACAATATTGACACCACCAAATGTTGATGAGGATGTCAAGAAACAAGGATCGCTTATTTATTACTTAGTGGGAGACAAAAATCTAGCCCCAATGCATGGTACTGAATTGGAAGAATAGCTTGGAAGTCTCCCAAATATATTTGGCATCCAGCAACAGGGCTC